TCTTTTACTGTCTGTGTCTAAGGGTGTTTTTGTTTGCTTGCTTTCTTGTTTAGGGAGAATACTTCTACTTTGGGCTTTGGAAGAACTTTTCTTCCAAACAAGGATGGTTATCTGGATGAATAGATCCAGAGCAAGAACTAGATCATCAGCAGTATTAATTATTCCGTTCAAGTTATTTTGTACATGATGCCTGGTCTGAATTTTGCTAGTTGTTTGTACTTGAATTAGATTTCCAAATTTGTCTGGAAGACTCCTATTTTGCTTTAATAACTTATTGAAGCGCATTGTTTCTTCATAATTCTTTTTATTTTTTCCCAGTACTAAACATGCTTTTTTGGAAAATGAGAGCATATAAAATGTATCTAGGGCTTTTGCTTCCTTATTTTGGTCTGAAAGACCTTCTTTCTGTAACTGAAATCTCATTTTTAATAGGGCATATTTAAAGTCCAGTAAGCTTAAGAGGGAAAAGCACGTACTGTGTGACATGAACTCTTTGTATATGCAAAGGGTCTCCTTACAGTTCTTAACTTTGAGACCTGCATTTTACCATTCTCTCATCAATTGTTTCGGAAGATTGCTTACAACATCTGTGTCTCACATGACAAGACTTTCCATGCTCGGTTCCAGCGACCCCCTTTTCTTTGCCAAAAGTTCTGCACACATCCTGGATCCATATATATACCTTCCCATCTTTTCCCATCTCCCATATTTATTCTCTTTTCTCTTTCACTGTTTTGAATTGTACTGGGGATTTGCCCATCATTCAGAATAGGGAGAAAACCAACTGATGCCAGCTGTGAACACATTCCAGCTCTTTGTGGTAGCATTAAGGAATTTAGAAAATCACAAAGTTGATGCATGACTGTGCATTTTCTACATGGCTTGTATGTTTACCTATGTGATAAACAGTACCTGATCATATAATTAATACAATACTGTATAGTATTATAAGATTGTTTTTGTATTATTATGAATTAAAAGAATGTTAATTGGGTGTGGAAGTTCCAACTTGTGTTGAAAAGAATATCTATGTTCATAGAAGTTTGCAGTGTAAACATTATACACTTGGAAGTAGTATATACACAAATGAGAAGGGAAATATTAGAAATTGAGGGCATCCTCTTTGTGTATGTAAATCAAGAGGCTGCTCTCCACAGGCTTTTCCCAGTTTATATAAATAGACTGTAAAAAGACTTCTTTGGAGGACAGTTTGGAACACATGAGGCATTCCTTCATGGAAATTGATTTCAACAGGAGTCTTTCCATTTACTGTACAGGAAGATCTGTCTCCTACATCTGATAGTTGTCTACATACTTAAAATTAGGTGGGATGTGTATGCCTTCTTGCAATTTCTGGGCAAACACTGCTCATAGATAGTAGTGTGACTGCTTGTTTGGAGGCAGAGGGGAAGGTACTTCATGGGCATCTGAGTAAATTTCAGAGAGGGCTGTGAAGAAAAGCTACCAAGTACGTTTTCAGATATTTAAGGGAGTTTCCCTAAGGTGTAAAATGGAAAAAAGCATAAAAGGTTTGTTTGAAAATATAACGTGGGTGATAGAGGAGCTGGAATCTCGACTCATGATATTTGCTGGCAGGTGGGAGATATGAAGGGAAGAAGTACAAGTACCTTCTCCAAATCTGTTTTTTTTTTTTTTTTTCCAATAAAAGTGTGATGGTTTTGGAAAGTGTTTTAGACAAGCACAGCATAAGTGATTTAAACAGTGTAATCTAATGATCTTTTCAGCTTTATGCTTTATGAAAATTGGCCTAGCTTCAAATACAAACATACCACAGCAGACTTCCTGATGATGATTAAGGAACAATAGGTGCAGTAGTGATAAGCCAGGAAGGGCCTTGAAAATGAAGACAAATAACAGAGAAGCTGAGGAGAGCTGTGGAGGCGCTGACATGTTCTCCAAGTGATTGACTTGGAAAAGGGACTTTGTAACAGTATTCTGTGTGAATGCAAATGAGATCAGGCTGCATTTCTCCAAAGCACAGAGAGATATTGCCAAATCAGGATGATGTGGTGATGATGATAACCTGGTTGAATACACTAGATGATTAGAAGAATTAAGAAAAGTATTGTCCTGTAAATGTTACAGTGAAAGTATCTGCAAATTATGAATATGACTCTTGGGATGTGGAGTAAATTTGGGGCCTGAGATGATGCTAACGTTGCAATAGTTGGGGTGATGTAGTAGCTCTGCAGCTGCATATATGTCACTAGCAATTAAACCATTCATATGAAAACCTTAAAGAGCTAGCACCTGATATAATTGTATTTTTAATTGATTGGGGTTCTTCACTCATCTGATTGCTTCCCAAATAATGTAGCTCAGAATGTAGTCCACCTGCCAGGCAGAACGGGGCTTGAGTTGTGTAGTTTATTTGAAATGTCCCAGTGGGATGAACAACATAGGATGGCATATCATGTATTTGCAGTGGAGAAAATGATCTTTTTAATTTGGCTGATTGTGATAATGGGCACTATATACAGAATTTTTTTAAATTTGAATTATTAAGTGAAGTCTTCTAATAACGTTACTCTGTAGTACTTCAGTAGCAGTTCAGTAAGGCTTCAGCAATTCATTGATTCTGTTCCTTTTTCTGGTTGTGCCTGGTCATACAAAAATTCTCCTCAGCAGGAGGAAGCTGTCAGTTTGCTTCAGGCCTTTATAGCAAGGTCCTATACGAACTGCAATGATCCTTTTCCTTCCCCTTCAGCATTTCCTAAACTCACAGATAAATGGTACAGCAGAGAGAGGGCAAGAGAATTAATATCTGCACTTGGCTAATTTTCAGCTGTAGTCTTATGACCGTGGAAGCATATGGATGTGAATTAGAATTGTTTCTGATCTTGTCTCAAAAAAAGAGATGACTTTTTTTTTTTTTTTTCTTGTTCATTCAACAATAGATACATTTCAGATTGCTAGCTTTGGAACTATAAACTGATAATGCATTTTTGCAAGAGCAAGAAGAAATAGTGTCTTAAGTGTATACTTGTCAGGTGTCCAGATTGAAGTATTAAAATACGTAGTATGCTCCAGGAAGTTAAATTGAAAAATTGCTTTACTCAGAAATGTGACCCTTTGCAAAGGAATTTTATATTAATAGCCCTTCAATAATTTTGGGTTACTCAGAGAGGGAGCAGTGGTGGGCAGGTAAGGCTGTTGCATGCAAATTCCTGAGCAAGTGCACTTCTTGTTCTTCCAGAAATCAGTGGCAAACAGCACAATCAGTGCATGCTGCCTGATGCCAGCTGTGGGATGCAGAAGCTGTGTGGGGAGAGACAGTGCTGGAGGTCAGGCTTCCTTCTGTTGAACCCCGTGCTCCCTTATCACCGTGTGCTTACTGAGGGACAGCCAGATAGATACCTGTCTTGAGATAAAATAACCATAATCTGAACTATTCTAAATGTGGCATTATAGGTTCTTTATAACATGCAGACTTGTGACAGGTATATGGCATAAAAGTATCAATTCAACATTAAAATGGAAATAAAGATTTTTTTTGTATCTATCCTGAGCTAACACAATCAGCACAAAAGCACTGCATTCCCCACAAATTCCAGAAATCACATCTCTCTTGTATGTGTATCAGTTTCCTCTTACGTAAGCAGTCCAAGTAATGTCAGTGCTGGATGTCAGCAAAGTGGGTGTCATAATGTTGACGCGCTTAGTGAATGTATTTTTGTTTAGATTTTTTTCCTAATAGAAATAATGAGTCCTTATCTCTCCATCAGTGATACAGACAAATCAGCATCTCTTACAGTTAATTTCAGATGTCTGTATCTTCATGTAGCTTGGAATTTTTTTTTTTTTTTACTTAGTAATTTATTTCGTAGAAAGGATCTGTCTTAAACTTATTAAGAGATGTAGGAGTAACCAGGAGTAGCTGATTCTCCACAATGTTTTATTTGGACAGAAGGTACGTTTCTGTTGAACTTGCCTGGTTACATTCTGATCTCAGAAGGCATAACTGTAACACTAAAGGAAAGAATAGCATTATACTCCTGGACAACCTTAATGTCAATCTGCTATCAGGTAGAGTTGGTGACAGTAGAGATGTGGTTATATTGATGAGCTTCATGAATTTGCAGATCAGACTGAAGACCATTACACCTTCTGGAGCTGACAGGCACATACAGGAAGGTCCCAGGTAGCAAGAATGCACGAACTCCCCTTCCCTTTTCCTTGTATGCTGGATGATGAGCACTGTTGCTGAATGTAGAACAGCATGGTATATCAGAGTATATAGTCCATGGTTCTGTGCCAGTGGTCCATCCTAATCTGGTACTTCTGTGGTGTATTCACTGTTGCTGTTACTCATTCCCATTATATGTTTCAGTGTGAGAAAACGTTACGAAGTAGGTATTTTTCTGAGATAGTGCCCTTTCCCACTGGCAGTTGTATATTAGACTAGGTGTTTGCTACCGTGGGCTATTATTAGTATGTCAGGGAGCACAGAAAGTGACTTCATCTAACTCACTGCCAAGCTAGAACTTCTCACAGCCTTCAGATGGGCACAGAAGTGAGTGTTTTTATAGCGCTAATATTATGTTCTGTCAGTTTTACAGTGTTTTAAAATATAGTAAGATTACCTCATTTTAGTTTTTGCCACCGCATTACTAAGAAGCTAAAAATCTGCATGCTTAGAAATGAGGTGTTGGTGATTAATATAAAAATATCCCCTTTATTGATTGTACAGCACTGTCATTTATTTAAAATAATAAAATAAATTATATGTAAATAAAAATATCAGCAGTACTCAGGAGGTGAGCACAAGCACTGCAGGTACTCACGTTTGCCTGAAGGGGAATTTACTGCCATCAGGTAATGCTATATAGACCTCCTGGTGTACGTTCTGTAGCTGAATGCAGCATATTGTGGCAAAAATGTGAATTTTATATTGCTTTCCTGGGACTAGTTTGGTGTCTCTTTGATTACAGCTGTGGGCTATGACACCTGATTCATCTTTTTTCTCTTTGCGTATTTAGGCCCTAATTCTGCGTCTGGTCAAATGGACCTCGAGAGCCCTGGGGCCTGGTTGAGTTAATGCAACATGAGTGCCTGGAAGTTTCTACTCTGAAGAACTGACTTTAGGCAAATTTGTATTTCATTTCCATGTCTACTTGCTTCTAATTCATGATAGTTGTCCTTTAAGGTGGTATTGTTTTTGAGACTTGGCACATCTACTTTCGTACCATTTGTATTCAGTGTTCCCTGAATATTGTCAGACAGTTAAAACATTTCTGTTGTGTCATGTACCAAAAACTCCGGATTGGTGTGATTAGTGTTGCATTTTTACATGTCATGTCTTCCTACTTAAAATGGAGGAGATAATCACCTGTGTTTTCAGCAGTTGTGGTGTTTCTTTTACCTTAGCTTCTGGAGTTAACTACTGGGACTCTATTCAGGGCAATTTAAAGATGTTGGTAGATTTGTTTTTTGTTCTTCAGACACAAAATACATTTGTTATTTTGCAATGTGCTATTTTCTTAGTAGCCTACTATTACTACAAGCTTTCAAAATGATGATAATTCTGTGATGCAGACCAGTAAAATAAGCGGGAAAAGGCAGTAACTTTTACTAGCTCTCCTGTTGCTTTTCTATTTTTGTGGATGCAGTTACATGTCATACTCTACAGCCGAGAGTGAAGACTTGCTTATTTTTGTGAACTGGATAACGTCTTTTAACTACGTGGGTTGCTGTTCCTGTCCTATTCCATAGGAATCTTACAGTTTCATTGTGTACTAAGCTTAGATAGCCCCAGTATGGACTGGGAAGGACTTTGCAAATAGAGTTAGAGGGGAAAAATGGATATGCTCTGTCTCTACCTGTGTTAATATTCATATCATATAGACTTTTTAATGCAAACATATATCAACGTAGGAAAATTAGTGGATGAAAATATCCAACACTTTCTCTGTATATAGAAAATCAGGAATACCTCCTTTTTTTTTTTTTGGTAGGCATATTAAAATTGTTTCTAAGAACTCTGAAGTATTTAACAACATTTTGCATATTCCCAGAACAATAGAGAAGCACTGCTGTTTTGCTTTATAAAGGAGAAAACAACCGTTCAATCAGCAGTGAAGTCAGGGTTATCAGTTGAGTCCTGCTGCCCTTTAACCTCATGCCTCCAGCCCCATTTCTTTCACAAAAGCCAAAGTTGCCATTCTAATCAATTTCTTTCTATTTCTGCTACAAGGCCTAAGGTGTTTCAGTTCGGACTCCCAGAAAATGAGGAACACGGTGTTGGTGGCCGTCTGCCAAGGTGTTTGGTCTGACTTGCTCCTTCTTTGCAGAAGCCTATGGCAGAGAGAACTGAATGTTCCTGTGTGGCATTCAACTGCCTTAACCACACGCCCGCTGCTCTCTTCCTGCAGTTGTCCGTCTTCTTCTCTGCACAACTTGTAGAGCAAACACATATAGGAACCTATAAATAATCTAATTTGATGCACAACCCTGATTCATTTCCTGAGCAGCGTGTGTCCTGCACACACAGGGCAGCCGCGGTCCTGTGGAAAACTTGAACAGAACGGATGAGGCCAAATATTAAAGCTGTTAAGTATTTAAACTTTGCAATGAAATGCTATTTCAAATTACAGCTATAATGAACCATGTTAGAATATTTTTAAAAAGGAAGGAGGAAAAAAAAAAAAGAATGCTTTTATTTATAGTTGTAACTGTTTCCCTGTCTAGCATTTGAACATGAATATTCAGCTTGGTGAAATACAGAGCATCAACCAAGAGGAGGAGGCTGGTCTGCTAGGGAGGAAGGGAAGTAAGCTGCAGGTTGTAAACCTGTTTGCCCTTGAGTCTTAGGGACTGTCTGTGGAGAGTTTACTTTTGCTTTTGTTTGCTCTTGAGCATTCCCAGCCCTAGAAATGAGCTCTTTAGAGGCTTTGTGGTGTGAGATACATTGGGGGTACTTGGTGTGTTGCTGTAATCTGCTAATAGCATCAATAAAAATTAAAAAAAAAAAAATGGAAATCAAAGGTGCTTTCTGCTATCCGTGCTTTTTGACAGAAAATAAGAGAAGGCACTGCTCAGGTGTCTCAGCTTTCTCCCTGAGTTTCAGGGTAATCTGTGTGATTCTTGATCTCAAAAATACATGGAAAATAACGTTAGAAAAAGTATCTCTCTCAGGTTTCCCCTTTCTTCCCAGTCCAACAGCAGTGGCCTCCTGTGTTCGTGAACTACCGCAGGTAGCGTGTAGGCCCTACTGGCAGAGCGGTGGTATCAGGAAACACAAGTTGATCTCTTTATCTTTTAGGCTACAATTGATAAGGATAATAAGGCTGATGTTGTGTGTTTTTTTTTTTCTTGGAGGGTAGGAGGAGGGTTGTCAGTATGTTTATTTGGGTTGGTTGGTTTGTTTACTTTGCCCCAGAGAAGTTTTCTGGGCCATGAGCTAGGTTTTAATTTCAGTTGATATTCTGTCTTATCCTTACAGATCTGATGACTGGGCTGGCGATTTTCTGTGAGGAAAATGAAACAGCCTCATGCTTTGCTTTTGGATATTTTTCTCTGGGTTATGCGGATTTTGCCCACAAGCAAAGCAGCAAATTCAAATGTCCTTAAACAGCACTGGAGTTGATAGTGAGATACACAGGTAGGAAAACTTTGGCCAAGGCATTCATTGAAATTCATTAAAATCGGAACACTTGCAAAATTACCTCAGTTGCACTGGCATTTTGTTGTAAAGAAAAAATGGAACCCTTGCTTTTTACACCTCTTTTTAATGAATCAATTTTTCTCTTTGTTGTAAAGAAGTTGTGGGGACGATCAGTTGGCAAGGCAGAACACCTTAAGCTGGAATCTCAGCCCAGTGCTTTGTACCTTGAAACCATGCCCTGAAAATGTTGCCTGTCCTTTGCGTGATATTGTGATTGATTTTATTATGCTAGTTCATCTCATGCACTGATTGTAATCTTTTGACAGGGGTTGTTTTCCTTTTCTAGATTTCATTTTTCTTCTTTCTTTCTTTTCTCTTTTGTTTTTTTTAAGCACCCAGTGTGAGGGAGCCCTGATCCATGACTTGGCTACCAGGTACTGGGACAATACAAGTGGTAATCATTCCTGCTGCTAAACATTTTCTACCTTATTTCCATTTGCATTTGTTTGCCTTCAGCTTCCAGTCATTGATTCTTGTTATGCCTTTCTCTGATAGATTAAAGAGCTCTTTAGTACTCACTATTTTCTCTCCAGGAAGGTGCTTTTACACTGTAATCAGATTACTTCTCAAACTATTTTTTTTTCTTAAAGCTAAAGATTTATATGGTGTTCATTATATTTTTTTCCACATCCCTGGATTATTTTTTGTGTCTCTTTTCTACTCATTCTCTAATTTTTCTATTAAAAAAAAAAAAGAGACATAGAATTGTATTTTACTGGTCACATACACAGAAGTAGTTACTTCACTAATTTCTCCTATGTTGGTATGGTGAGGAATCTATGTTTTTTCAAGGTCAAGTAAAATAAACATCTATTTAATGACTTCAGTACATTTGGGTGTATAATTATTGAACAGAAGAAGATGGATTGTTTTATTGAAAATGGAAATGCTTCAGAAGGTCTGCTGATGCAGAAGAAGAGTGTGCAAGAGAGGCTTCAAAAAAGTATTTGTGCTGAGGATTTTAAGGAGATAGAGAGAAGTAATAACATCTTGAAAAAGGATACTGCTCAAAACCTTAAGTACTATGGATAACATGATATGTATTTTTTCTTGTGAAAATTTTGTAGGATCAAATGCAAACCTTTTGTGAGTAACAGACTGTCTGGGCTACTGGAAATAAATGAGTGGATGTGAGTATATGCATCCCTTGCACCCATTTAGTTCTGTGAAAAATCAGTTGCTTATATTCAGAAACTCTAGAACAGTTACATGATCTAAATGTTGTGCTGTGATAGAAGAAATAAGATAGCATCAAGGATTTTGTTATAAAAGCAATCGCCATTATGCCACAGAAGACTTCAAACAATTAAAATCCTCAGCTTCAAGAAGTTCTTGAAAGTTCTACTGCTGCTCTTCATTTTGATTTTTATTCATGCTTCGGTAAAATGATGAGGTAAATTTGTCTTAAAGGAGTTCTAATCTCATACCTGTGTGGTGGAAGCATCTTGACCTACCTGATGACTGTTAGTATATCAGCATCTGGGAGAATCCACACTCCCAGATCCACCTTATCCCTCGTGGAAACCACCAGATTTAAACCAGAGACCGTTTAAATGGTGCCATAGATCAGTTTAATGCAAGTTTGTCCAACAGTATTTAAACTTTGCAATGAAATGCTATTTCAAATTACAGCTATGATAAGCTGAGTTAGAATATTTTTAAAATTTGTGTCTGGCACAAATTTGAGGTCACCATGTTGACTTTTTCTTGGAACTGTCTTGCTTTTTGACTTCTATAAGAGTGCGCCTTTTGTTTATGGCATTCCTTCAGTGAAATTTGAGGCATATTTAATAAAGAGTTTAATTTGTCTCAAGAAAACTAAAATTCGCGGAAGCATAAATAATGAAAATAATAATAATAATAATGTAAAAGACTTAAAAGCCTCTGAAACTCCTGAAGAGGGAGTAAAGATGACTAGGAGTAGAAAGATAAATGGTCTCGGAAAGTAGTGATCTAAATAGATGCTACAGTTTTATGTTCACCAAAAGGTCAATGCTAAGGTTATGGTAGCACAAGACAATTTGGGGTAGATTGGTGTCCCCTGCTGAGCTCTGATGCTGCATGGAGCTTGGAGAAGTCTTTGGGCTGCATGCAGCACAGTCTCTGCAATGCATATTGCAGCCCAGGTTGGTGGATAGTCATACCTCCTTAAAGACTTTGTTCCAAAAAACCTGTCATCTGAGTAGGCAAGTCTGTGTGGTATTGTTTCCATTCTGTACATTTTATCACATTTAAATACCCCTTTCTATATCAAGACAGTTGCAACTTGAGAAAAGTTGGGGGACAAAAAAGAGTTTAGGAAGTGTTATTCCCAAAGTGGAGCCTACAGTTAGCTCTTCTGATAGTCGTCCTAGTAGTTGAATCCAGAAAGAGGTGCTACTCAGTGAGTGTTTGTACAGTAAAGACTTCAGTAATCTGTGACTGCTTGCTTATATTCACTCAGTGAATACTAAAATGAGTAGTGCTGCAGAGCTGTAATGCAGCATATAATAGAGCGTGCCGTAGGTGTTTAATCACTCTGAACCCTAGACTGCCAGTAAAACAGTAACCAAACACCACTCTGTAAGGACTGCTTTTGATAGATTGTAGTACTCGGAGTCTCACTTGAGCACCATGCCTCCTCAGGAAGGTAGCAAGTTGCTGAAGATGTGGAAAGTTCTCAGTACAAATGAGAAACAGTTCATTTTCTAGCACTGTGTTGTCGAGGAAGAGATGGACACTTCTCGGTGACAGTCATACATATTTGGCTGTATTCAGCCAAAGGGCAAGACTGTCCTTCTGTCAAACCATGCAGGTTCCTTTTTTCAAAGCTGTAAGCTCATATTTGTTTCTCCTAGCAATTCCTGTAACCACTTATATGCAGTGTGTTTCTATGCATTGCTGTGGATCCTGTATGTACTGCCTCTCCTATTTCTCTGGATATCAGCATCCTATAAATTCACATCATTTTCCTGCCTTGTGCAGATAATACTGCTAGGATTTCTGATACCAGGGACTGTACTGGTGTTAAGGTGCCTGCGACGTGTTCAGAAATAGATGGTTTAGCCCGTGTTGTAGATAATGGATTGAATCCTGTGTAAAGGACAAGAGAACAGGTCAGAGTTATACTTGCTTGTTGTGCATTTTCAGAAAACATACACTAGAGATAATAGTACCTCTGTCCCAGTCCTGTACCTGGCTCAAGGAATCTCTCCAATTTAACATGTAGTATTGAGGGCATCTAAAGGATTCCCAGATGCAATGGAATGTATCTTTGAGTGTTTTGGACTGGATGATACAGGAAGGAAAGTGATTTCCACTATTTTTCATCACCTTAGGTCTAGTTGAATTCTGCCTTTTTCTGGTGTAGAAGCGTAGTGGCAGTGGCAGCATCAGAGGCTTCTGTGCCTCTTGACTGAGGATGACCTAGTACTAATAGCTTTACAGGAGACTGTCTGTAATGGTGGACAGCAGCATCTTAGGATCAACAGAAGCAAACATTGCAGCTGATAACTTTTACCTTGTCTGCGGACTTGAGTATGCAGTCACATAAATGGCCTGGAGATTTTGGAAGGACTCGGATGTTCGATATACTGGTTCCAGAAAGTGGAAGAGAGAAGTGGATGTTGCATTGCATGTTGTGCTCTCAGAAAAGCAAACATCTTAGCAGGTCAGCGATTTCAGAAATTGTGCAGTCCTGGAAGAACATTTATTTAACTCTTTTGCTGCAGGAGGTGAATGCAGTTCCCCACCTATCTGAAACTGCATTGCAAGCTTCATAGAAGCACTTAAAGAAGTTGCATGCTTATACGTAAGGAATAAGATGCTAAAGGACTCACATAATTTCCGTTACTGTCACTGTGAAATGATTGCTATATAAACGTGTATATGTACAATTTTCACTGTGGCATAATGATCATCAGGAGAAAAGTCTATAACTAATGCATCTTCATCCATTTTGCCCTCTGTGAGCTGAACAGTGTGGGCATAAA